GAGCAGGGAGCCCGATGCGGGACTCGATCCCGGGACTCCAGGATCATGACCTGAGCCGAAGGCAGTCGCTTAACCAACTGAGCCACCCAGGCGCCCCTTAATCTTTCTTTTCTTTCTACTGACCCTGACTTCATTTTGGAGGAGTCTTAGTTATCTAATGCTGCATAACAAATTTAGCAGCTAAGACAACACACAAGTATTATGTCGTGGTTTCTGTGGATCAGGAAGGCAGGCAAGGCTTAGCTAGGCCCTCGGGCTCAGGTTCCCTCACGGTCAGCAAGCAGGGCATCAGCCAGGGCCACAGTCATCCCCAGAGTGAGCTGGGACAGGATCGGCTTCCAAGCTCCTCATGGGGTTGTTGGCAGGATTTGGGTCCTCGGGGGCTACTGTGCTGAGGCCTTGGTTCCTCATAGGCTGTTAGCTAGAGGTCTCCCTTGGCTCCTGGCCACACGGGCCTCTCCCTAGAGCATCCCACAACAGGACAGTGAGCAAACAAGAGAGAGTGCCAACAGCAAAGTGCGATCAGATGGAAGTCATGGTCATTTTAACACAGAGTGACATCCTGTTGCTTTTGTAGTGTTGCATTTGTGAGAAGGAGTCACTAGGTCCAGGCCACACTCAAGGGGAGGGGATGCACAGGGACATGAGGAGTGGAGTATAGTATCATGGCATCACGGCATGACAGAGTAATGGAATATGGCATCATGGCATGGCGGAGGCCATCTTAAAAGTCTGGCTACCCCGGGTGAAGACGGTGGGGTGCCTTCTGCCTTCAGGCCCTTTGCGCAGGCTGCTTTCTTTGCCTAAAATGCTCTCTCCACCCCTGTCCTTTTCATTTTGTTGGGTCTCAGCTTAGAGGTCACTTCCTCAGAAAAGCCTTCCCGGACCTCAAAATACCAGCGTGTCTCTGTTATCTGCAAATGCACGTCTTCTCTGTGGCAGTTATTACAGTGACAGGTACGAGTGATAAAGCAGCTAACATTCACGTCCTCGAGATCCTGTGCCAGATGCTCAATGCTGTACACGTGTGAGCTCCCTTGATTCTTCTGACAGCTCCCGAAGATAGGGACTGTCGTCACCCACATTTTACAGAGGGAGAGGCTGCAGCTCGGAGAGGCTAAGGAGCATTGCTGAAAGCCAATCGCTAGCAAAGGGCCCGACCAGGCCATCTTTCCCCAGAGCCTGTGTGCTCCGGCCCTCTGCCACACGGCCTCTCCCAGCAGCTAATGCACTGTGTGATTTTTTTTTTTAATTTAATCTTTGACTCCCCACTAGGCCGTGCGCTGTGTCTGCTGTGCTCCCACTGTCCTCTGGCACCTGGCGCAGTGCCCGGCTCGGGGTGGGTGCTTAATAATGCAGAGGGATGGAGAAAATGGAGTCCTGCCAGAAGCCAGGAAGGAGGCTCCTTGAAGGGTGAGACCTGCCTTGTGGAGAGTCAGCTCTGAAAGCCTGCATTCAAGGAGCAGCTAAACACCCTCTGGCATCACTCCCTTCTTACTAATCTGGCCTCAACTTCCCTTTTCTGTCCCCAAGCACTTCCACCCTAGGATCAGGGCATCTCACAGCCTCCTCCAAACACATGGGACACTCCACACTCCATGTTTTCGCTCCCTCCTTCCGTCCCAAAAACCTCTTTCAGATGCCTCCTCCTCTAAGGAGTCTTCCCTGATCTCCCAACCTGGTGGGGTCTCTCCCTTCTTAAAGCCACCAGAGCTTTTGCTTGTACTTCCTCACCCTCCCTGGGCCTCAGCTTCCTGAACTCTAAAATGAGGAGAGCCTGGGTGCCATGGTCTGTTAAATTTCTTCCAGCTTCTAAAGCATCCAGGATTAAGGAGGGCAGGTGATGCAATGAGCACTGGGTGTTATATAAGACGGAGGAATCACTGGCCTCTACCTCTGAAGCTAATAACACATTATATGTTAATTAATTGAATTTAAATTAAAAAAAGAATAAAGCATCTAGGATTCCACTCCGGAGTCTTAGAATGGCTTTACCCTCCCCACCAGTCTGTGATTTCCTTGAAGGGCCGAGACTATTTCCTTTCATCTCTCCTCAGTGTCCACCACAGAGCAGGGTGATTTTTAGGCATTCATAAATATTTTTTTGTGAGGAAATGGTTGTGGGGGGGGCAGGTTGAGATGGCAGCTCAGTGGGGATGTATATCTCCTGTGTCTGCTAAAAATCCCATGGAAAGAGGGAAAAGATCATTCATTAAAAGGCTGAATGATGGAAAACTCTAAAGAATGCCACCAGAAGGCATCATGCTCCCTGATTCCAAACTATATTACAAAGCTATAGTAATCAAAACAGTATGCTATTGGCATGAAAACAGTCAAACAGACAAATGCAACAGAACAGAAAGCCCAGAAATAATCCCACACATATATGGTCAATTAATTTACAACAAAGGAGCCAAGAATATACAATGGAGAAAGGACAGTCTCTCCAATAAATGGTGTTGGGAAAACTGGACAGCCACATGCAAAAGAATGAAACTGGACCATTATCTCACACCATATACAAAAAATAACTCAAACTGGATTAAAGATTTGAATGTAAGACCTGAAACCATAAGACATCTAGAAGAAACATGGGCAGAAAGCTCCTTGACATCAGTCTTGGTGATGATTTTTTTTTTTTTTTTTTTGGATTTGACACCAAAATCAAAGGCAACGAAAGCAAAAATAAACAAATGGGACTCCATTAAACTAAAAAGCTTCTGCACAGCAAAGGAAACCATCAACAAAATGAAAAGGCAACCTACTAAATGGGAAAAAATGTCTGCAAATCATTTATCTGATAAGGGGTTAATATTCAAAGTATATAAAGAACTCATATAACCCAATAGCTAAGAACTAAACAATTTGATTAAAGAATGGGCAGAGGACACATTTCTCCCAAGAAGACATACAGATGGCCAATAGGTACATGAAAAAATGCTCAGCATCCCTAATCATTAGGGAAATGCAAATCAAAACCACAATGAGGTATCACCTTATACCTGTTAGAATGGCTATTAACAAAAAGAAAAGAAATAACAAGAGTTGGTGAGGATGTTGAGAAAGGGGAACCCTCTAGCACTGTTGGTGGGAATGCAAACTGGTGCAGCCGCTCTGGAAAACAGTATGGAGGTGCCTCAAAAAGTAAAAAATAAACTACCCTATAATCCAGCAATTCCACTTGTGGATATTTATCAGGGGAAAAAGAAAACACTAAATGGAAAAGATATATGCACCTTCGCGTTCATTGCATTATTTACAATAGCCAAACACTGGAAACAACCCAAATGTCCATTGATGGACGAATGGATAAACACAGTGTGGTATCCACACACGATGGAAAAGTGATTCAGCCTTCAAAAGGAATGAAATTCTGACAAATGCTACAACATGAATGAACTTTAAGGACATTACGCTCAATGAAGTAAGACACGAAAGGACAAATATTGTATGAAGTCACTTACATGAGACACCAAGAGGAGTCAAATTCATAGAGAAAGTAGAATGGTGGTTTCCAGGAGCTAGAGAGAGACAAGAATGGGGAGTTATTGTTTCATGGGGACAGAGTTTAGTTTGGGAAGATGGAAAAGTTCTGGAGATGGACGGTGGTGATGGTTGTACAACCATGTGAATATATCCAAGGTTACTAAGCTATATACTTGAAAATTGCTAAAATGGTAAATTTTATGTTATGTATATTTTACCATAGCAAAACATTTTATAATGGACAAAATATCTGAATAGACGTGCCAGCAAAGAAGATACATGAATGGCTATCAAGCACATGAAAGGATATTCAACATCATTAGTATTGGAGAAATGCACATTGAAACCATAATGCAATACCACTTTACACTTACTAGGAATGGCTAGGGTAAAAAATTCAGGTATCTAAGAGGGCTGGCAAGGATGTGGAAAACACACAATCCCTATGCACTGCTAGTGGAAATGTAAAATGGTACAGCCACTTTGGAAAGCCATTTGGCAATTTCTCCAAAAAGTAAACACAGAGCTACCGTAAGACCCAGCACTTGCACTCCTAAATATCTAACCAAGAGAAATAAAAACATATGTCCACACAAAGACTCATGCACCAATGTTCATAGCCATTTATGAACATAGCTATTATTTGAAATAGCCAAAAAGTGCAAACAATTCAAACGTCCATCAACTGGTGAATGGATAAATATAATGTGGTATATCCATACACTGAAACAACTATTCAGCAATAACAAACAAACAAACAAATGAATTACTAAGCAATGCAACTACGTGTCATGAATCTCAAAGACACTACGCTAAGTGAAGGATGCAAAAGACTACGTAGGATTCCATTTATATGAAGTGTCTAGAAAAGGCTAACTCATAGAGACAGAAAGCGGGTCATTCACTGGTTTCCTAGGGCTGGTGGTGGGAGCAGGAATAAACTGCAAATAGGCACAGCAGAACTTCTGGATGATGATAATATTTTAAAACTGTATTGTGGTGATGGTGGCACAACTCTAAAAACTTGTTAATATAATTGAATTGTACACTTACAATCAGTGAGTTTTATATCATGTAAACTATATCTTAAAAAGGGGTTAAAAAATAGAATTAGGGGTTAGAAAATAGAATTCCACCAGAAGCCCAAAACCTTCGAGAACTTCCTGAAAAACAAAAAAGCAGATAGAAAACAAAGGATCAGTGGCCAACCTATACAAAGAGCTTCTACAAATCAATAAGAATACTACAAACAAATGAATAGAAAATAGGACAAAGGACATGAACCAGGAGTTCACAGAAAATGACAACCAAGGGCCAATAAATCATTGGAAAGGGGCTCAGCCTTACTGTTAAAAGGAAGGGTGTAATTTAAAATCTAAGATGTCATTTTCACCCATCAGGTTGACATAAAAAATTCAAAGTTAATATGCAGGGTTGATGAGGAAATGGAGCATTGAACACTCTCAGACATTGCTGGTGGAATGCAAGTTGGAACAGTCCCAGTGGAGGACTTTTGGCGAGATCTAGGAAAAGGGCGGTTTCTTGTACTCCAGCAATTTGACCTATCAGCTCACAACTCAGAGAAACTCACTGACCCATGTGTACGAGAAGGAGCCTCAGTCTGCATGTTGGAAAAAGTGGAATCTACCTAAATATCCTCCATTAGTCTGTAAGAAAATTTTGAAATGAACTGCGATATAATCATTCCATGATATACTCTATAGCAGTTATTAGCTACCTATGTCCTAACAGAAATATCTCCAAGGCGTATTGTTGAGTGAAAAAAGAAAAAAGTAAGTTGTGGTATTCACTTGCATATGTAAAAATTAGCCAAACAGAAGTTAATGCAGTCTCTTTGTAAAAGATTAATATGAATAAAGCTAAAGATCTCCTTTGATTGTCTGGGAAAATCCCACTCTCCATATATATATGAAGTTTTTTAAAAAAGATTTTATTTGTTTATTTGAGAGAGAGTGCATGCACGAGAGAGAGAGAGAGAGAGAGAGAGAGAGCGAGAGCGTGAGCATGAGCTGGGAGTGGGGGGCAGAGGAAGAGGGAGAGAGAAAAGCAGAGTCTTCACTGAGCAGGGAGCCCAACGGATGGGGCTCTATCCCAGGACGCAGGGATCATGACCTGAGCTGAAGGCAGACGCTTAACCGATTGAACCACCCCAGCGCCCCTATATGTGAAGTTTTAATTTCCCTTTTTTATGTAATTAGTATTATACTATATGTACTGTTTTACATGTTTGGTTTTGGGGTTTTTTATTTGTTTGTTTTTACTTAATCATAGGTTGCGGTGGTCTTTCCATAGCAGTACCCAGAGCCTTACATCATCCTTTTTTTTTTTTTTAAGATTTTATTTATTTATTTGTTAGAGAGAAAGCACAAGTAGAGAGAATAGCAGGCAGAGGGAGAAGCAGACTCCCTGCTGAGCAAGGAGCCCGATGCGGGACTCGATCCCAGGACCAGTCATGACCTGAGTCAAAGGCAGACGCTTAACTGACTGAGCCACCCAATGTGTCCCTTACATCATCCTTTTTAATAGATGTTCATTATGACCAATTTTATACTTCCCTACTAAAGGATATTTAGCTTATTTTGAGGCTTCTGTTAATACAATGATGGTACAGTGAACTTCTTGGGTTGAAGGTATACACTTTTTAAGTTTGACTAGCTACTGTTAAAATGTCCTCCAAAGTGGCTGTACCAATTTACACAGAGGATGGAGATTCATAACCACTCCCCTACCACCTCACTATTAATAAAAAAATTAGTCTTTCACTCTGTTGCCAAACCGGTGGGCAAATGTTATTTTTATTTATACCTCCTTGATAGAAATGACATTGAATATTATTTCATTGGTTCTTTGGCCTTTCCAGTTTATTTTCCCATGAATTGCTTATTTATATCCTTGGGAAATTTTTTTTTTGAAGGTTTTATTTAGGGGGCGCCTGGGTGGCTCAGCGGTTAAGCCTCTGCCTTCAGCTCAGGTCATGATCCCAGGGTCCTGGGATCAAGCCCCACATCGGGCTCCCTGCTCAGCGGGAAGCCTCCTTCTCCCTCTCCCACTGCCCCTGCTTGTGTTCCCTCTTTCACTGTGTCTCTCTCCGTCAAATAACTAAATAAAATCTTTAGTTATTTGACGGAGAGAGAGAGAGCACTAGCAGGGGCAGCGGCAGAGGGAGAGGGAGAAGCAGACTCCCCGCTGAGCAGGGAGCCCAAAGTGGGGATCCCAGGACCCCGTGATCATGACCTGAGCTGAAGGCAGACGCTTAACCGACTGAGCCACCCAGGCATCCCTCCTCTAATATTTTTTAAAAACGTCTTATTTATTTATTTGAGAGAGATGGCACCTGAGCGAGGGTGGAGGGCAGGTAACAGAGAGAGAGAGAGAGAGAGAGAGGAACAAGCAGACTCCACGCGCTGAGCCGGGCTCGTAGAGGGGCTCAATCCCGCCACTCTGAAATCATGACGTGAGCCAGATCAAGAGTCAGACGCTTAACCGACTGAGCCACCCAGGTGCCCCCAGTTTTTTCTTTTGTGACTGGCTTACAACTTCACGTTGTAGCATATCTCAGAACTTCTTTCCTTTCAATGAATGAATAATATTCCACTGTGTATATATATACCACATCCTGTTTACCCATTCTTCTATCAGTGGCTACCTACATTGCTTCCACCTTTTGGCTATTGTGAATAATGCTGCTATGAACATGGGTCTACGAATATCTCTTTGAGACCCTGTTTTCAATTCTTTTGGGTTTTACCCAAAGGTGGAATTGCTGGGTTCTATGGTAATTCCATCTTTAATTTTTGAAGACTGCCATTCTGTTTCCATAAGTGGCTGCACCATTTTGCATTTCCACCACTGAAGCTCAAGGATTCCAGTTTCGCCACATCCTTGCCAACACTTGTTATTTTGTTTTTTGATAGTAGTCATCTGCTATGGTCTGAATGTTTGTGTCTCCTGGGGCCTTTGGGAGGTGCCTGGGTCATGAGGTGGAGCTCTCATGCAAGGGATTAGTGCTCTTCTAAAAGAGACCCCACGGGGCTCCCTAGTCCCTTCTGCCATGTGAAAATGCAGTAGGAAGTCTTTGACCCAGAAGAGGGCTTTCACTCTGATCTCAGGCTTCTCCACTCCAGACCCGCGAGAAATAAATTTCTGTTTATATGCTTCTCAGTCTGTAATATTTTGTTATAGTAGCTCCAACAGACAAAAACATCACCCTAATGAGTGTGAGGTGATTCAGGTTTGTTTTGATGCCTTTTGTAACACAAGGCAAGCCAGAAGCACGAAAACAAGCATGGTTAGGTTTAAGGGTCTGATTTTAGTCAGTTAGCCTAGGTTCAAATCCTGACTCTCCCATGTTCTAGCTACATGGAAAGTAGAAGCAATGACCCTGAGATCATGACCTGAGCCTGTTCTTTTTCTTTTTCTTCTTCTTCTCCTTTTTCTTTTCTTTTTTCGTCCTATTATAACTTCATTGGTCCTGCTCCCTTCTGCCTATAAAAGTCTTTCATTTTGTGCTCCTTGGAACTCCTTTCTATCTGCCAGACTGGAAACTGCCTGATTTGGATCAATGTTTGCTCAAATAAACACATATGCCTCAGTTTCTCTTTTAACAGACCTCTATGGTCCCATCTGTAAAATGGGTATAATCATCATACCATTCTTTCAGAGTTCAAGGGTTAAGTAAGATAACATACTTAAAAGATACATTTGAGGACTTAGCACAAGTCCTCAAATGTATCAATCTTTTCTTTTATGTCTTATTTAAAAGAATCATCTCCACCCCAGAGTAATAAACATCCTATTTTTCTCTTCTGATTCTTTTATAGCTTTGATTTTGCTCCTAGGTATTTAAATCAATTGAAAATACTTTTTACATGATATGCAAAAGGATAGTCAAATATTCCAACGCTTCTCACTGACTAGTGTATCCTTTTGCCACTAACCTGATCATCTCTTAGTCCCAGCTACACAGGGTCTGTTTTTGGACCCTCCTCTCTGTCCAA